TCTGAAACATTTGAACTGATTCACTGACCGCAGTTTGGCCCTGTCAGTGCAGCCTGTGAAGGAGTGGGGCCCACACCCCCTCTGCCACGCTGGTCCTTTAGATGGGCCTCTTCTGAGTTGGAGAGGCAGGAGCGGCCCTGGACCCTAGGAGCAGAGCCTGGCCCGACTGGCTTTGTGGATTGAAGAGAAGGCTGGCACTGCACTTCCAGACCACATGCATTGCCCATCCCCCCGGAGGGGCTCACTGATCTGTTCTCAGACTCACAGACCCCCTCTGGGAATGCCGCCCAAACCAGGTATGTGTGAGGAGACAGGACACAGATTCCTTCTCCTGCTTGCTTCTCCCACTAACCCTACCCCAGTTCAAAGAGTTTGTTCTGTTTGTCAGCAAATATTCTTAGGCCAGAACCTTAAATGCTTCCATTCTATAACACTGTGCTCATTTGTAAACCAATAAGTAATTTTAACAGCCCTCTGTGGATGCAACAAATGCCTGACATCTGATCTTTTATTTTCTTGAGACAGGAGCTCTGTTGCCCAGGCTGGAGTGCCATGGCATAGTCTCAGCTCACTGCAGCCTCTGCCTCCTGGGCTGAAGTGATTCTCTTTCCTCAGCCTCCTGAGTAGCTAGGATTACAGGTGCCACCACCATGCACAGCTAAATTTTTGCATTTTTAGTAGAGACGGGGTTTTGCCATGTTGGCCAGGCTGGTCTTGAACTCCTGACCTCAGGTGATCCACCCGCCTCTGCCTCCCAAAGTGCTGGGATTACAGGTGTGAGCCACGGTGCCTGGCCCTGATGTCTGATCTGAATGGTAGGGGTGGTGGGGCAGGCAGTAGTTGTGGGAGTTGACAGTGCTTAGAGGGAAATTTATAGCTTTAACCACCTATGTAATAAAACGGGGTCTCAAATAAAAAACGTTTGGCCGGGCGTGGTGGCTCATGCCTGTAATCCCAGCATTTTGGGAGGCTGAGGCGGATGGATCATGAAGTCAGGAGATCGAGACCATCCTGGCTAACATGGTGAAACCCCATCTCTATTAAAAATAGAAATTAGCCAGGCATGGCGGCATGTGCCTGTTGTCCCAGCTACTCAGGAGGCTGAGGCGGGAGAATGGTGTGATGAACCTGGGAGGTGGAGCTTGCAGTGAGCCGAGATTGCACCACTGCACTCCAGCCTGGGTGACAGAGCAAGACTCTGTCTTTTTAAAAAAAAGTTGGCTTTGGCCGGGCTCAGTGGCTCATGCCTGTAATCCCAGCACTTTGGGAAGCCGAGGTGGGTGGATCACGTGAGGTCAGGAGTTTGAGACCAGCCTGGCCAACATGGAGAAACCCCATCTCTCCTAAAAATACAGTTAGCTGGGCGTGGTGGCAGGCGCCTGTAATCCCAGCTACTGGGGAGGCTTAGGCAGGAGAATTGCTTGAACATGGGAGGCAGAGCTTGCAATGAGCCAAGATCATGCCATTGCACTCCAACCTGAGTGACAGTGAGACTTGATCTCAAAAAAGAAAAAAAGTAGAATTCTACTTTCAGCTAGAAAGAAGAACAAATGAAACCTAAAGAAAGATTAGAGAGGAAATGAGTAAACTAGAAAGCAGAAAAACCAAAAGTTCCTTGAAAAGATCAACAAAATTGGCCAACTCTTAGCTAGACTGACTACCAGAAGCATGAAAGAGGCGACATCATCACCAATCTTACAGAAATGAACAGGCCTTGGAATACTGGGAAAAGCAACCAACTAGGTGAAGCTGACGAACTCCCAGAGGGACACAAATCACTTACACTGACTCAGAAACAGAAAATCTGAATAGACCTAAAACAAGAAATTATAGTACTGAGAAGTCGTAAGTGTTCCTACAGGAAGCCTGTGCCCACAGGGCTGCCGCTGTCAATTGTCAGTAACACAACCATTCACAATCTTCAGAATGTGGAGGACGAGACACGCCCCCTGAGTCTAGGGGCTAAAGGTGGCGAAAGGCGTCATGATCCCCACCCCCACCCCACAGAACAGTGTCCGTCACAGATGTAAAGATCCTTAACAAAATATTAGCACCCCAAACTCGGCAACCTCACACACCGTGACCACGTGGTTTGTCACAGCAAAGTGAGGTTCTGTAACATCTACAAAGCACTTAAGGTCGTAAGCTTCATTAATAGAAAAACATATACCTGTAATCCCAGAACTTTGGGAGGCTAAGGTGGGCAGATTGCTTGAGCCCAGTTCAAGACTAGCCTGGGCAATATAGCGAAACCCTGTCTCTACCAAAATAAACCAAAAAGAAACCAAAAAGTAGCCAGGCATGGGAGCGCCTGCTTACGGTCTCAGCTACTCCCAAGGCTGAAACCAGAGGATCATTTGAGCCCAGGAGGCGCAAGTTCAGTGAGCTGAGATCGAGCCACTGCACTCTAGCCTGGGAGACGGAGCCAGAGCCTGTTTCCAAAAAAAAAAACCACCCATGAGATCCATCTCAATCAATGCAGAAAAGCACAGTACAAAAGTCCCACTCCTATTCCTGATAAAGAATCTCACAACCCGGGAAGAGAAGGGGACATCCCCAGCTAGAAAAGGCCATCTGCATTAGGTTCCAATCGCTGCTGGGATAGGTCACGACCACCTCAGTGATTTAAAAAAACACAAGTTTAGGCCAGATGTGGTGGCTCATACCTGTCATCCCAACACTGTGGGAGGCTGAGGAGGGTGAAACACTTGAGGTCAAGAGTTCAAGACCAGCCTGGCCAACATGGCGAAACCCCGTGTCTACTAAAAATACAAAAATTAGCTGGGTGTGGTGGCGCATGCCTGTAATCCCAGCTCCTTGGGAGGCTGAGACCAGACAATTGCCTGAACCCAGGAGGTGGAGGTTGCAGTGACCTGAGATCGTGCCACTGCACTTCCAGCCTGGGTGACAGAGCAATACTCCATCTCAAAAAAAAAAAAATACCCAAGAACCAAAACACAAGTGTATCTTGCGGTTTGGAGGTCAGTGGTCTGACACGGGTCTCACGGGACTAAGAGAAAAGTGTGGGCAGGGCTGCGTTCCCCGCAGAGGATCTGGGAGAGGTTCTATACCCCCATCCTTTCAAGAGGCACTCTTGGCTCGTGGCCCTTCCTGCCACCTTCAAAGCCAGCAACAGCAGGCCAAGTCCTCCATGCCTCAAGGCAACTCCTCCTCTGCTTTTAAGGACCATAC